ACTCTGCAGGATTCATGGTGTCAATTATCTCCAGCACTACGTCACACATTGATCGAATCCATGCCACGTCGTGTTGCGGCACTTCTGCGTGCTTGCAAGGGCCCTACACGATATTAGGCAAGTATACCAGTTTTATTTCTGAATTTACTTGCATAGCCTCTTATTTTAAAAAGAATATCATATTATTTTGGTTTTATTGTTAACGTCACCCAAGAGCACAAAGGGCGAATCTTTTTGTTTAATGTGTCACGTAAAACTGTGTTTTATTATTTTACTGTGCTGAGTCTGGCTCTTGTTAAATTCCTTCCAGAAAACTAAGCGTTTAACCATTGTACATTAATTTTAAACTATAGAATTATATTGTGTAATGCATACCTGAATGATACTTGTCATTCAAGTTTTAGCAGGACAGATTTGTTGGCCATCCTTTTGTAGGTACCATATTAGGTGGGCCAACGTTGTTCCCATAGTAAGGACAGATAGTGAAGAGAATGAAAGAGCACTCACGCTTTGTACGGGATACGAACCCAGGGCTTTTCTGGTGCAAGGTCAGCTCCCTGACGACAATATAGTCCGATCGGCATGAAAAAAAATCAGATGTCGTTTTTTGTTTGCTATACAGAAATCCATGAAAGTTGAAGGACTGCATAAAAGGGCTTGATACAAAGCAAAATTTATATTCCAAGTTAGTTTCAGTAATTTAAACATTTTTTAATGAAAAAATCCGTTTATCAAGACACTTGAGGTTATAAAATAAATTCCCCATTAAAAATATATTTTTTAAATAAAGGTTTAAAAATACATACTAAAAACGCAGATTACCAATTTTTGACTACTACTTCTTAGAATTTTCATTCTAAGAAAAGAAGTAAAATGACCAACGGCAGTCTTTCCATTCAATTAACCATCAAGTTTATGGTTAGGGACATATATTTACCTTTATTTACCTTACGTTTACAACTAGCATGATTACAAAAACATTAAAATGAAATATAACTGAACAAAAGTTTACATTGATGAACAAAGATTACTTGGACATTTTATTAGGTAATGGAGATTAGAAATAGGTTGCGTTATGACTGAATTGTGTCTTGTTAAGTGAACAGTGAAATGTGGCTTAATTAGTTTATCTTGTGGTGTCATCTATAGAGAGAGATTGGAAAGTATTAGAGTTTTTTGTGTTAAGCAGCTAAGTGGTCTTTCCATCTAAGCGTGAATGAGAATTTCAAATTCTAATAGTTCAGAGTCACCAATTGAAGAGTTCAGGACACTAGAAGCTCTCATGTGTTGAAGGAAATATTATGGTGTCAACGATGAGATTTGAAAATCCATTCAGTCGGTCATGGGATTAACATATTGACCCTCTCGGCTAAAATATGTACCAAACTGCAAGAAACTCCATGAGGCATTTACTGCACTCTTACTGCTGTAAGATTAAGCATTTGATAATGGAAAATAAAATTATGAACTTGTAATCCTCGTCACATGGTTTAGCTTCCAGCTTCCGAAGAACGTGCGCTTTATTTTCATTGACAGTGGGCCTAGTTGCCGCCGAAAAAATTCTGGTTGCTTAACTGTATTAGTTGAAAACAGTTAATAAACGATTTTTCGGACTGTTAACTCTTTGAATACCATCTTTTTTAGGGTTATTTAACTGTTTGGTTGAATATGTTAAAATACCAATTAAATAAGATGTTATTTAACATTTTTTTTCAGGAAATTTCTTAAAGTGCAATTTGTTCTACGATTCATGAACAGATATGTTCATTGGCTCAAATTACCGACTGAACATCAGAACATTTTAAAAGTCTTTGTGGTTAAAGGTCGAAAAGTTTACGCTTCCACCTTTTACCTGAGGGGGAGGAACCCTCAGAAGGTTGCGTGTTCAGATCACGTCCGGGTCACCAATTGAGGAGAAGGAACCCTCAGAAGGTTGCGTGTTCAGATCACGTCCGGGTCACCAACTGAGGGGGAGGAACCCTCTCATATTAAGTTGAAGACAACTATGACAAAAATCAACTAAAAATTTATTAGCAACTGAAACAAAACAAGCTAAAACAGAAACATAAAATTAAGTAGGACGGTGTGGGATAGAGACTGAGTCAAGTTCGAAGCTTCTTAAATACTGGGGAAGTTCCAAGGTTGCCGATCGTGTGTTTGTAATCCCGTTGATTCTTTTGGCGCCTACGCACCATGCCTGGCGCCACATACCAACTAAAACTTGGATATTCATAAAATGAAATTAATTAAAGATATTAAGATTTAAAACAGATATGACATATGATATTCTTTCTCAATCTGCCGCCATAAGTAAATATCTCCTTTTATCATAACAAAAATATTTTTATGGTAAACAAAAATAATATAACACTATTAGCTGGATCATACTATCTTTTACACATTGTTAAATTTCTTTATGATAAATATTTATTTGTTTTGAAGTCAAGAGTTTGATGTTTTTGGTAGAAGACTCATTTTGAGACTACAGAGGCTAAATAGCTGCCTGAAATTAGCTCTAAGTTTGAACAAACAAACAATAGACATTCCATAAAAAGAGAATACATCAACATATAACTATTTCTCTTAAAAAAAATGATGAGATATTTAGATACAGATATTTACTGTCAAGAACTAAATTTTAAAACCTGAAAATGCCCTGAAATATTACTAGGAAGTATCTAGACGAGTTAGTAGTTATGCATATGAGATAACAAAATGCAAATACAAATTTTTCGAAGTCGAACTTTGAATTAACGAAATTCCTGTTTGGTTTACTGTCGGAAATGCAAATTTTCTCAATGTCTTGCCAAGAACGACTCATTCGAAATAACAAATGAATGGTGTTGCTGTGCAAAGTATTGAATGTATTGAATATCTACTGTTGCTCTTGTGTTTGCTTACGTATTTCTGACCAAATTTTAATAAAACGCAGAATCTGAAATTGAAATAAAAGAAACATTTAAATTACTACTTATCACGTTCTATAACGTGGGGTTAGTCGAGAAACTGAAAACTTTTCGGCAATTAATTGATGTTAGCGATAATGTTTTTCGCATCATGTGTGTAGATGGATGCTGAGATGCAGTCAAAAATAAAAAAATTCAAATGATATTTGGCCACGTGTAAATGAAAAGCCATAAAAAGAAAGCAGTTTATAAACATTTTAGCTCATTTTTGTATGTTACAGCTTTATACATGTTAATTTCACCAGAATTGAGTTTAAAGAGCACGGTGATTTAAAAAAACGAAATTCCTCGATCCCTACGTCATCACTGTAAACTATAAAAACTGTGCTATGTTTCAATCAGCAAAAAATAGTACACTAAATGTGATACTTATTTTTCATTAATTCAACAACAACAGAACAATATAGCATCAATGAGGTTCTGTTTAGTAGAAACAGTTAAAATATATTTTTTCCTCCGAAAAATATTCCAAAAACAAACACTACTGCCCAGAGATATTTCAGCTTTGAAAATATAGCTGTTATACATATATATATNAACTAATATATATATATATATATTTATAACAGCTGAAAACTCACTCCTCGCTCTTAAAAAGTTTTATACTCTAAATGCGATAGTTATAATACTGCATTAAAAAAAATTTCAAAAAAGACACTGTCGGAAAGTCGGATATAAATAGTGTCGAAAAGATTCAGAGACAAAGAAACAGCTAAAATACTTTTGTATCAAAAAAAAAGAAATATTTTAGAAACATTTATTTAGAAAACTTATCTCTAATATGATTTCTCTACTTATCTCTAGATGATCTCTCATCTCTCATCTTAGCTCTCATCTTATCTCTAAGATGATTTCGAAATTTCGTTGATGTAAATATTTGTTTTTATTGAGAAATTTAATTTCAGACAAGGCTTAAACTGATTGTATTTTCTAGTTCTTATTAACCTCTATGCTATGCTTTTTCATTTCAAGTTGTTGTTTTGTTTTTGTTTTTTCAAACAAGACGGTAAATATAATTAAATTGAAATTGCAGTGAGTTTTCAGATTCCCCCAATTCTGTCATGAAACTCGGAACAACAATTAAATAAAAGAGTTTTTAAAAAAAGAAAAACGAGAATGTTTTTACAACTTTCTTGTTTTTTGCAGCTTTTTACACAAACATTTAAAAAGAAAAAATCCTTTCTTATTCAAATTTTGCATTAGCTGTTCCGATTGTCTTCTTATTAAAGCATTTGAAAAAAAAACAAGCACATGTTTTTGTATAAGTAAAAAAATAATTATTAATAAAAGTTATTGGAAGCATTACTTGCATAATGCAAATAGACGATTAAGAAATTAGTAATGAATAAAATTAATTCTTTCTCTGATGTATTTTCTTACTTTTTTCTCTGAGCAAAAAAAACTTTCAATTAAAAATAACATCATTTGGTTACCTCGACACTCCCTCTGACTCTATACTCGTGTTAAACCCTCTTTTAACTTTTTTTTGTCGTTTTTTTTTTCATGTTATACGTTTCTTTCTATCATTCTTTCGATATTTTTTCATTGAAATAATTACTTTATCTGTTGTCTATCACTGAACCATCTGCAAATTTTTCGAAAACAGTCCTCTGAATTACAGGTTTGAATCAGTTGTAGGTCCTATCTGAATTTTTTTTCTTTGCATAAGCATCGAAATAATTTTCAAGGGAAATTAAATAAATATAATTTACTTATACATTGAAAAAATGCATAAATATCACAGATCAATAAGACGAAAAACTTTTTCAATGAAGATTCGTAAAAACTTTTTTTTATAAAAAGAATACATGAGATCGATATTAGAAATTTTACTTTTAACGAAAATATTTTAACAATATAGAGGTAAATTAATTTTGTGCTTTTTTTACATTTTTATGCTTATAATAGTTATTAATAATTTATATGATCGCAACATTTAAAAAATCTCATATTTCTTTAATCTTCGAAAAAGTTTTCAAACATCAAGAAGAAAAAAATTTGAAAAGTGCATGCAAACTTCAAATGCAGACTTACCTACTACTAATGTGACGGATGGCAAAAGTATTATAGTTCTACACCTGATCATTATAACGTTTGTACAAAAATAAAGTAAAAGGGGCGGCAATTTTGAAGCTATAGCCGGCTCCGGCCGGACGGAGCGGAACGGATCCCGTTGAACACCGAAACTAAAAATCTTTTCCCCTGTACACTTTTCTTCATTGCCAATTACCTGTGCCCTGCAACCACGTGCTTCGAAGCTGGCGCCATCTCTGTATTGTCTTAGAAATCAATAAACAGACGAGAATAAATTTCGTATTCAGACCCATACTCTATCATCTACTATGTAGAAAAGGAATCAAGAATCTTTCGTTTTGTTTAGTCGTTTGTGTTGAATAAATATCGGGCTGGTGCTATTTTACTTAACAGTTTCCAAAATTGTTATTTTCGTAACAAAATCGATAGAGATCTATGAATAATTGCACAATTTTATTTATTTTAATATCATATTTTTCTCAATTTCTTTTCCACTTTCAAATTCAGATAAACTATAATATAGAATATAGTAATTGTGTAAATTTTGTTTGAAAAAGTTAAAAAATGAAAAAAATTTTCAAAACAAAATGATCTAATAATCAATTTTGATCATTTTCAAAAGAAAATGATCAAATGATCTAAATTAGTTCCTTTTTTCAAACAAAAAAAAATGCCTTTTGAATTTTAACGATATTTATATGCTGAATGCAGTTTTTTAATTGAGAATATAGTGGAAAGTGACATTATTTTATACAGATAATATTACAGAATGAAGAAAGAAAAAGAGGATGCTATCAATAGCTTTCGTTCTAATGGTCGAAATGTCCGAACTCCTCCTCCTAGGACTCACTCTAAAAGGTTCGATAGCCTGACTTTAAATATACTAATTAATTAATGCAAACTATATTTTTGTGTACCTTAAAAAACTAAATGTCAAGTCTGTACATTAAAAAACCAAAGAGGGAAGTCTTTCACAATTTCTGTTTTTTTGGTGCACTAAAATAATAAAATATAAAAATCACATCATAGTTTGAGCCAACGGATCCCAATTTTTCCGCCAATAAGCCCTAAATGATTCACTTTCTTTTTGATATAGAAATCTATGATAAAAAAAACTTACAAATCCAATTTTTCTGAAACTACCAATAATTAATTAAAATACGTAATATTTTCACATTATATTAATTAAAAAAAGAAGAAAAAAATTTTTTTTGATAGTTAAAAAAATTTTTGCCCTTGAAATTATCAAAAACCTCGACTTCAACTTTTGAGCTCAAACTTTTGAATAACAAGTAAGTAACTTCTAAAAAGTAAATAAACAAGTTCGAAAAATAGTCGGTCATTTCAGACAAGCAAAAATCGTCATTAGTGCCAAAACAAAAAATTTTGCTAATTTTTCATATTGCAATTCGGTATCTTGGCACTAATGATAATACTATATTTCAGTACTATCATCTGTATCCCAGCCCCAATGCACAAAATTGCAAAACAGTGCATTATACGTTGTATTTACACAATTTTGAGCACAATGATAACTGTTTCCTTTGGTATCAAACTTATACAATTTGAAAGTATACAATAGAATTCGTTCAAAAAGTAATATCTGCTATTTAACATTCGATTGTATCAGTAATAGTCCTAAATTCCTAGATCTCGCTTTGAAAGACATTTTACACAGACATTAAATTCCAAATGCAAAGAAGTCCTAATGATATTGTTGAGCTCTTATCAAAGTCATTACAAAGTAATTAGTAAATTTAGTCGACGTTTGCTCAATGTTAAAACAATTAATGATCTATAAAAGTTTCGTTTTCTAACCAAAAGCTTTTCAGCTAATTGAACTACTGTTTTGATGACGGGGGCTAAAATATTTTCTGGTTAACTAATTGATTCGTTTATCTAAAATAATATTAATCCATTTTTGAATTATATTGACTTCATGCATCATAAATGGCGTGAAATGCAATGCATTTTTAAACATATCGACAAAGTTCTCAAATTCGATTTAAAAAAGAGAAAAATAAATAAAATGATATGAAGCTGTGACAAGATTAACAAGCTCAATTTCTTAATCTATAAAATACATTTTTACTAATTCGATTAAAGTATTTAAGATGGCTATTATTTAAAAAGAAGAAAAACAATTTTACTGTAAGATTAGGAAAACGATAGCGATGAAATCTTACAAATTTGAGTTGTTCAACAGAACTCTTTTAATTTCTATTGTTTGAAGGTACACATATTCTAAAAATAGAAAATTTTTCTTTTCTCCATAATAGAAATGAAATCAACAGTATTAAATATAAGTTCATCGAAAGCAACGAGTTCAATCAAGTTCAACCATTTTTCTTTCTTTTCTTTGATGCTGCAGGTAAAGCAAGGCAAGCATTGTTTTTAACTCTTGAATCTACCATTTTAAATTATTAGAATTATAAGTTTAGAACGAATATTAATTTGCCTTTATTCTGTTTTAATTATTCAATGGATTGAAAGCTGTAACTTTTAATTATCAAACTTGTTAACATACTTACCTATTATATAATCATTTTTGATGGAATTAAATTGTATGTGATGCGCGAAATGCGTCTTTATGTAATCACAGTAAGACAATAAAATTGAAAAATATAATTACTTAATTTATTTCTTTATTTTTAATGAAAGTTTTGTATTGTAGGCAATGATTTTATTTTAGTTCAGCTTCGAACAAAAAAATATTCACTCAAAAGAATATTATTAAATTCAAAAAAATTATTATTAAATTAGTCAATAGGGAGATTTTCAAAATATTGCAAGAAAATAATATTGTTTAATCACAACTGGAGGAATACAACAAGTTGCTTCAATTAAATGATTTAATCCGATTTAATTTTCAGAAAATTTGGTTATTTTACATAGTAAGCAAAATAAGTATATATTTTTTTAACAATTTTGCTTTTTAGCTTTTACTTTAATCATACTAAGTACTTTTTTAAAATTTAGTTTTCTTTAGAACCACTTTTTGATAAATATTTATTCATTTGTGTTCAAAGGTGCCTCAAGCTTGTTCAAGCTATAAAGCATCTTTAAACCTTTAGCTTTGTAATTTTCGTATTTATTCTGATAACTTTCAGTTCTTGTATTGTGAGTTAAAAAATTCTGTAAGCATTTTAATTGCATTAGTTAACTTATACTATATAAATTATAAATATGAAAAGTATGAAATTTTCAATTAATTGTTCGAAGGTTTTACTCTTCTAAAGTGATTTATCTCAAAACTTACCTTTATTTCGCTTCTCTTCTAAATAAGGATTCAAAATTGCAAGAATAAAAGGCTAGTTCTTTCAATTCATTTATTAGATCGAATCTGTCCAATATAGTATTTTGATACGGATTTTAACCATCCAATATACTCTTCCAATTAGACTGTTATCCGAACGAAATTTTTATGCAATTTTCTGTTTAGAGGCTTTATCTACTAGATTCTTATTCAATCACAATTTTTTCTAACAAAAGATGAATCACTAATTTGTTTTTTTTTAAAAAACACATCATCAAAAAATAATATTTTTAATCATACTGTGATATAATATATTCCTTTAAATGTATACTAAATTAGGTTCGAGGGTACCTTGAAATCTAATGAAATAAACAAGACAAAGATTATATAAAACTCTAAAATAGATATTTTTATTAATATTTATTTACAAAACATTATCAAGTCACACTTTCTCACAAAACGATTATATTTATTTGAACAACATTCTCACAGAGATCATTCATAATCGATTTGCAATTAATACAGTTAATTGTAACCAAATGGAAAAGCTGAACAGAACATAATTGAACATTATAGAGAATAATATGTATACAGGTGTGAGTTGATGCATGCAGGAAAAAAAAACAATTTTATCGGAGATAATGTGCAGTGCTAAAAAAGGGGAGAAGAAAAACAATTAAGTTTGATCCAGTGATCGAATCTTTTTGTTCTAGGACCCAATCTTAATGTTCCGAAAGGGTGATATCAAATATGCTAATTAATTAGTGCAGACGATATTTTAAGTCGCGAAATCAGAAGCAAAAGCATACTTTCTCTGAATAAACATAGCCTTTTTTCAGCTAATTCGGATTTCTGGTTCCCAAAATATTGTGGGTAGCCACAATCTGAGAAATTGGATACCAACAGTTTGGTCAGGAAAGCGATTTTAAGGTTGCATCCCTTAATGTTATTTTTACCTTTTGCGTTATTTTATCATACCTCGGGAACTTTATAACGAATTGAAAGACTTTTGCACACAATTATAAAAGTCATATATCCAAAGATAACTCCACGCAAAAAAATAAATTTTAGTAAATATTTATTATTTTATTTAATAATATTCGAAAAAATTGTTATTGTAAGGTACAATTTTTTTAAAATTATTTTAAAGAACGTAATTTTACATGACAAATTACAAAGTTAGAGAGAAATTGGTCTAATAGTTCCTGAGAAATAAAATTTTAAAAGCATAACATTTTTAAAATTCGATTTCTCAGGAATTATCCTACCGATATACTAGGAACTATTCAACTGAATTATGCATACAATGAATGTACATAGATATATTGTACATGTGCAGGATATATGCATGTACATGTGTACGATATATGTATGTCCAATGAATACAAGTATCTATGCACAATACATTGCATAGATATTTCGGTTTATTCTGAAAAAGTATGTTCTTGTATGGGATATCGCCTGCCCTTATTAGCATATTTGAGGTTATCCCTCGGACCATTATGAGTTCGAGAACGTGAAGATCCAATCATTAGATCAAAAGTTATTCAGGGTGGTCTGTTTATTTCTTTTGAGCACTGCATACATACAAGGATAGAAAGATAAGCCTGGAATGCAAATTTATGGACATTTAAATGACATTACATTCAAGTTTAATTCAAATCCTTAAAAACAAATTGTTAAAAATTCAAAAAAGTCATAAAAAAATTAACACATCTGCTGTGTCGAAACAAATTTTTTCCTAAAAAATCTTGTTATGGATTAGTAAAACTTGGTAACATAAATAGAGTCTTCAAATTTTTCTTTAGTTCCAGAAATAAAATTATAAATTTAGATTAATTGAATTCCAAAATCATAATCAATAATATCGTTTCCTTTGACAAGTTGTTGTGCTCTGCAGGAGTCAATAATTTATGGCTGAGTTT